ATTAAAAAAAACAACAAACTTTCGTAAAGCTTTTTAATTAGATTTCCTAGAAATACATATTTTGAGTATGCAGTTTTGTAGACCGATCAATTCAAATAAAGCTCAAGTTTAAAATACATAGCTGCGACTTATCGTTGATTTTTAATATATTTTTTTTTTGATGAAGGCGTTGCTCATTTTCTTCATTAATAAAATCGTCGAACGTACTTAGATAATATTGAAGAAAATTACCGACATCGTCAAAAATATGCCATGCATCAACTGTAAATCACAGCTCTTTTAAATTTGCACTTTATTACTTTTACTGCACTTTATTATTAAAAACTTATTAAGAAATAAAATTGAAATAGAAAGTTCGAAATTTTTACGAAAGTTTGTCGATTTTTTTTTAATGTTGTTGAAAGATTAAACTTATTTTCATTTAGTGTTTGTTAAGGAATAAACTATATTTTTATAAACAAATAATTTAAATTAAAATATAATAAAATAAAAAGTTAATTCCAAAATTTATTTAAAAAAATTCAGCGCAATGTAAAACAAAAGTATGGGTACTAAATGAAATAATTTCTTTGTGTTCACAAGGATGAATAGGAATTGAAAATGCGCCTTTAATCTATTTTATTTTTTTAAGCTAATAAAGTTAGTCCTTAACATATAATTTTTTCAAAAATAAGAATTGAAAAATTTTAAGGATATTCAAGGATAAAATTATAACGGGGTATTTTCAATACCTACCCGTCCTTTACGGACTAAAAAGTGTAATGTGTTTTGACTCTACATAATCTTCTCTTTCATTTGATACCCATGCTAGTTTCTTGAGTATATTGCACCGAAATTTTTAAATCATTTTTTGAATTGCTCATATCTTTCAAATTTCAAAGTTCTTTTTAAAAATCCTGACGCCAGAGAGAAAAAATAAGAACGCAATTTTACTATATTTGGCCCTTGGTTTGGCGAATGTATTGATTGCCTGCCGCAAGGTATTATATGTATTGAGCTACACATTTATAAAAAAATTTTAAATATTAAAAAAAACGAAAGCAATATAGCCAAAACTGGTCAACATAAAGCGTTTCTATTGCTGCCACCAGTGTAAATTATAAATTTAGGCAAATAATCCCGGGATTTTCGGGACTTAAAAAAGACCGGGATCCCGGTTTGAACCCCCAAATTACTTACCTGTGTTCGCCACTGCTCGGCATGCTTCACTGCGCCTCAAAATTATTTTTGTGCTGTTTGACACCCGTATGGCAATATTTCATTTATTTTATCAATTTAATATAATATAATTTTTCAACCCGGTGGCAACCACCCTCAAAAAATATTTTCGGCAATAAACTTTCCTAATCCTCTATATTCAATGTATGTATCTTATTAATTAAATTTAAAATAAGAGGGAAGGTTTGAGAGTCGAGTGACGAAGACGCTGGTAGTCAATTGTGATTCCGTAATTCAACGTTGACATTTACTTATATTGGTGGAGACTAGGAATGTTAATCTGGGTTCCCGGCCTTTTTTAGGTCACGAAAATCCCGGGATTCTTGGCAAATAATCCCGGCATTTTCGGGATTTTGTAATTAGACTGATGGCAATAATAGAAATTCTTTTTCTGACCACTATTTATTAGTACATTTATTTTTTTATTTAGGTTAGGTTAGGTTAGGTTAAAGTGGCTGCCAGTGACCCCACTAGCACACATAGGCCCTAGGTTGTGGGCCCGTTGTGATACCACGCGGATCGTTAGAACCCTCCTACTCAAACCATCGTGTGGATTTTGCGAAACCCAGAAGTTGCCGTATGCCTACTTCGGCTATGTCGGTTAGGTCCTCAAATAATCCTGAACCCATGAACTTTTGTCTTCTTCTACAAAGTGCGGGGCACTCGCATAACAGGTGCCGCAAGGTTTCTGGCTCTTCCTCATTTCTGCAGCTTCTGCAGAAGTCGTTATGGGGGATCCCTAACCTCTCCGCGTGCCCCCCGATAGCAACATGGCCTGTTAGCAGACCCACAGCTGCGGCTAGGTCTCCTTTGCTCAGCATGAGGAGATCCTTCGACCGCTTTTTGTCCCATTTAGGCCATGTAAGCTTCGTGTTGTTGCAAGTGGTGAGGCTATCCCACCTGTCCCTTGCTAGTTTAAGAGACAGATCCCTTAGAATGAGCTTGCAGGTAGCGAGCGGCATGCCTAATCCCTTCCAGGCCTGCGAAAGTGGAGCGGATGTGCCCTCTCTTGCAAGTTCGTCCGCCTTTTCGTTGCCTGGTATGTTCCGGTGCCCCGGAACCCATACCAAGTGAAGAGCAGACTGCTCAGCCATCTCGTTTAGAGATCTGCGACAGTCCGCTACGGTTTTTGAACTGCATGTGACCGAGTCGAGCGCTTTGAGTGCGGCCTGACTGTCTGAGTAGATGAAGATATCGTTATAAATGACTTCTCTTGTACGTAGGTGTTCAACCGCTTCCTGTATGGCAGCGACCTCAGCTTGAAAGACGCTGCAGTGGTTGGGTAAGCGAAAACATATTTCCAGCCCCAGTCGGGCCGAGAAGACCCCCCCTCCTACCTTGCCGTCCAGCTTAGAGCCATCGGTGTAGAGGTGGAGTGATCCATTGTCATCGGGAGCCCCTCCTGACCAGAATTTTCTATCTGGAATGGAAATCCTATACCTCTTTGTGAAGTTCAACCTTGGTGCACAGTAATCCGTGTCCGGTATATTTATGTCCTTTAAGATTGCGGTGTGGCCTTCCTGAGTGTCCCTCCAGCCTGGTAGTTCCCTCAACCTCAAGGCGGCACACCCCGCTGATTGCTTTCCAACAATTTCAATTGGTAAAATATCGAGGAGCACGCACATAGCCTCCGATGGAGTTGTGCGCAGGGCCCCACAGATGCAGAGCATCGCAGTTCTTTGCACCTTTTGGAGTGCTTCTGTTGTAGATTTCCTGTTGAGACTTGGCCACCATACCAAGACCCCATATAATAGAATCGGCCTAACAACTACCGTGTATAACCAATACATGATGCTAGGGGACAGCGCCCAGCTACGCCCAATCGCCCCCTTGCAACTGTAGAGGGCTACCGTCGCTTTTTTAACACGCTCTTGTATATTTTGCGCCCAGTTAAGCTTTTTGTCCAGGACTACGCCTAGATATTTTGCAGACTCCCCTAGCTTCAGAATCTTATTGCCTATGGCAGGGAGCTGAAGTGAGGGGATTTTGTACTTCCTGGTAAAGAGCACCAGGTCCGTTTTTTCTGGGTTAACACCCAGACCTTTTTCCTTGGTCCATCTCTCGATTAACCTTAGTCTGTCCTGCATAATGTCACAAAGAGTTTGTAGAAATTTTCCACTCACAACCACCGCAAGGTCGTCAGCATACGCTATGACCTTGGAGCCTCCCGCCCCTTCCAGGGTCTGCAATAATTCATTAATCGCCATGACCCAAAGAAGGGGGGAGAGGACCCCACCCTGCGGGGTTCCCCTGCAAACGTATCTGTCCAGCGACACGCCCGCCAGTTCCGCCCGCACGACCCTGCCAACTAGCAGCTGTCGTATAAGCGACACCAGCCGTGAGTCGATGTCCAGACCAGTTAGAGCTGATGTGATTGCTTCAGGTGTGATGTTGTTGAACGCACCCTCAATGTCTAAGAATGCTATCAAGGTGTATTCCTTTATCGCAAGGGATTTCTCAATATGCGACACGATTTCGTGTAGCGCTGTTTCGGTGGACTTCCCCTTCATATAGGCATGCTGCGAAGCCATAAGCTTATCTGCAACCGATTCCCTAAGAAAGGATTCAATCAGTCGCTCCAATATCTTGAGCTGGAAGGATGATAGACTGATAGGTCTAAAATCCTTGGCGCGAGTATGGGATGTTTTTCCCGCTTTAGGAATGAAGACAACCTTTGACCTTTGCCAGGTCTCCGGAATGTAGTTGAGAGTGAGGACTCCCTTAAAAATAACATACAGCCATTTAGAGCTTAGCTCCATAGATTGCTGTAGCTGAATCGGTGTAACACCATCTGGACCCGCAGATTTGTAAGGCTTGAAGGACCCTATTGCCCACATCAGTTTTTCTTTGGTGATGAGGTCTACCGTAACCGGTTGACCTCTATTTCTTATTGGCCCGTTCAATGGCTGCTCGGTGGCGCCTGGAAAGTGCGTGCTCAGAAGATGGTCCAGGGATTCCTCCCCAGTTTCCGTCCACGCTCCGTCGGATCTTAGCAAGCATCCCGGGGCGATACGAGGTGAACTAGAGAGAACCTTCCTGAGCCTAGAACCTTCTGATACGGATTCCATACCACTGCAAAAGTTCCTCCATGAGGATCTCTTGCTCTTCCTTAGTAGTTTCTTGTAATCTTTCAAGTTTAACTTATAGATTTCCCATTGCGTATCGCCTCCCGAGGATTTTGCGAGATTGAAGGCTCTACGACAATTTTTGTGGGCCTCGTCAATCTCTGTACTCCACCAAGGTGGTTTCTTTTTGCCTCTCGGCTTTACCATGGGGCAGGCCTGATCCAGAGCCTTGCCACATGCCGCAGTAAAGCGATTTGCCAGCCTATCTAGGTCCCTAGAGTTTCCTGGAATTGCTAGTGTGGTTCTTGAGAGCCGTTTGTCAAGCTCTCTTCTGTACTTATGCCAGTCGGCTTTCCTTAGATTTCTTTTGGCCGGTACCTTGGACGGGACCCCGTCTAAGTCGAATTGGATGAAGCGATGATCAGAGAAGGAATGCTCATCAAGCACCCTCCAGTTCCTGATCATGACCTCCGCATCTTCTGAGACGAGGGTAACATCCAGGACCTCTCTTCTGCTCTTCGTTATGAAGGTAGGCTCGCTACCCCTATTACTTATAACTAAGTTAGATTTTAGTATGAATTCAAAGAGTGACTCACCCCGTTCATTGATGTCTCCACTTCCCCATGTGCTATGGTGTGCATTTGCATCACCTCCTAGAATCAGGGCCCCGTCCCAGCGCTCCACTAAATGTTCGACCGGTAGGGTTGGAACAGGCCTGTCGTGTGCCAGATACATCGAGGCAAGCCTTATTTGTCGTCCGTTCGCCTCCAGACTGATGGTGGTGGTGTCCTCGTCACTGAACTGAGGAAGAAACAATATTTTTAGTTTGGTACTAACAAGGATGCAGGCCCTTGGTTTACCTATGGTAGCTCCACTTATCAAAGTGTGCTCTGCCGACTTCAGCCCGCATATTCCATGCCCTATCACCCAAGGCTCCTGGATGAGGGCGATGTCTGCTGCCCCCTTGGAGAGCTGGAGCAGCAGTGCAGCCGACGCTGCTTTGCTGTGGTGGAGATTAATCTGGAGGACGCGAACCATCTTGGCCGCACCTTCCCACCCCCTCCACCACTGTTGAGTTCGCCTCGTCGTCATCTGACATCAGCTCCTCTTCTGTGTATTGCCGGAAGATATGGTCGACACCCAGAGAGGATGTAGATGAGGCGTATCCACCAGCCAGGTCATCCATCGGATTGGCCTGGTTGGATTCCTCGTCCACCTCATCCTCGCTGTTGTCTGCTTCCGGCTCAACTTCGTTGCCTCTTGCTGCGTTCACGTCGTTCGTGTACACCCTTATCTTTGCGGTGTCGAAACCGTAATTGATGACGCCCCCAGTCTTTTCGAGGAGTGGCAACGACTCCTTATTTAGCAAAAGGACCGCCTGACGAGTCGCCTTTGTGCTGTGCTCTAGCCGCACCACCTTCCAATTGTGAGAGGGTAACTCGGGATTAAAGAGCCTTATAATCTCAAGCACTCTCTCTGGTTCGGTCGGTTTGGCCGGTATCCATGCCCTTGCTCTGGGCCTGGATGGGATGTCCTTGAAGTCCACAGCCCGTAGCATCGCTCCGGGGTAGACCTCTCCCAGCATGGCCATCGCCTTCTTGTACATGCCCGCCGACCTTTCATCGTCGCACGCGACGATCTTTACGTTACCTTGGAACCAACCTGCGTCCCGGCATATCGGAGGTGGTCCGGGGTGCTCCCGAAGCACGCTGACGCAGATGTTCGCCAATTCCGCTTTAACCCATTTCCAATGAGCTCTCAGTGCCAATTCGTCTCCCTGGTTCTCATCGAGCACACCCAGGAGGATCCGATTTTTGACTACCTCAGCAAAGGTGGGGCCTTGCGTCCTGGCTCTTTTCGACTTATTTTGCGCAACCTCCATCGATCTATTGCGCTTTTCCGCAGCTGGTGGCTCTCCGAGCACCGGCAGCTGATAGTCGGGCACTATCGTCATTGCCCACGCTATCTCCGACCGGATCTCTTCCACGTGACAGGGCAGCGCCCTGCTACATAGGTCCGGGGTTAATGCGGATCTCTTCAAGATCCTCATGGCAGCCTTCCTGTGCTTGGCAATGGCTGCGCTTGGTGGTGGCCTGTCATCAGGCCTTGTAAATGCCGTAGGAGTAGGGGGAGGCGGGGCCCGCGCATCAGCTCTGGCGCCCCCTGGGGCTGCAAGCTGCAAGCCAGGTTTGCCTTCACCGGTGCCGGGAAAATCCCGTTTCGGTTCCCCCACCCTCTTCCTTTCCGCTTTTGTGGATACGCCTGACCCCGGCATCGCCAGAGGCTTACGTACCCCACTAGTGCTGGCCACGTCGTGGCTAGTAGAGGGACCCTGCATCGCATGGGCTCCATGGTGTCTGGGCAACTGCCCTTCCGACTTTTTAAGAGTGCCGGTCTCAATTTCCGTTTTTGTTGATTTTGGTTTGTTGATTAATTCGCTCATATTCCCACGAGTTGCGGAGAAAGGGTTCGTCGGCCCCGGGCAGAGATCCGCAGTACCCAGGGTAAGGCCATCGAATGCAACCGGGTGCGGCCTGGTTCCCAGAGGGCTCCGTTAGCGACTGGGCTATTTAGGGGCTCCCAGCCAGGCTGATCCTCAGTACGGTACGCGTAACGCCTTGATCCAGCCCCTACCTCCAGACCACGATCAAAGACCATTTCCGTATGGCATAGCGATGAAAACGCATAAGCACACAGCACTGATCCCTGATCTTAGCTGGACACCCTCCCGACATCGCACGGGATTGCTCTGTAGTGCCCATTTCCAGCCGGCACCCTCGCGGAGGGTTCAGTCCGAGGATTTTCGCCGACCTATTTTTTTATTTAATAATTAATATTTTGCTAAAAATGTCTAGCTCATTATTATACATATAAATAGTAAATTTTACACACAAAAATTAATATATTCGCGAAACCATGGGCCAAATATAGTAAAATTGCGTTCTTAGTTTTTCACTCTGACGTCAGAAGCTCAAAATTATTTAAAAAATTCAGTCAAATGTGCTTAGAGAAAAAGTATGGATATTAAATTAAATAGGACATTCTGTAGAATTTAAACAGATTCAAGTTTTTGGTGCATAAGCACTGGTAAGTATTGACAATGTCCTTTTAAAATTTTATCCTTGAAATTTTGCGATATTTGTTTTTTTGAAAAAATTAAATGTTAAGGACTTATATATAAGCTCGATAGCGTCCTCGAACTTTGTCCTTCTAACTTCATCAGCTTAAAAATCGCCTATTCGTCCTTGTGAATTCAAAAAATTTTAATTTTTTTTAACTTCTAAAGAAATTTCCTCTTTCATTTGGTACCCATATTTTTATTCTCACTGCTTTGAATTTTTTAAATAAATTTTGGAATTTATCATATCTTTGAAATTACAAAGTCCTTTCAAAGAAATCCTGACGTCAGAGAGAAAAAATAAATAATATATTAAGCTGGTATTTCAGGGTACTCTTTTATATATATATAAGGAAAATTTGAAAGTTAGGGGGGGGAGGCTCGAGCACCCCCCTGCCCCTACCTGGCTACGCCCATGTATACTTCATCGCCTTTTCTGAAGATTGTGGTTTATTTATTTATCTGAAAACAATTTTTTCGACAAATGATGCAAACATATGAAATCATTTTCATTATAGCTAGGTAGCTTTTTAAACTCTAATGCAAAACATTTAGTTTTAAAATTTTTTTTCAAACTTAAAAGACTAAAAATAAATTTACGCTTTTATTTTAAAAGTTTCTAGTTTTAGTTTTCTTGTTGAAAATTATGTCGCACTACAAGTCGTTGGAACAATATTCTGAACGGGTTCATTTTAGTTTTGAGAATATACAATTTTTGTGTTATTTATTTAATTTCGTTTGTTCACCTCGGTAAAAAAAAGTTAATATATTATAACGATCATTTTTGTTTTGCGAATGTTTCGTTTTAAAGTCGTAAATAGAAATACTGTATTTTTTTATTTTGTATGAAGTAAAATTATATAAAAAAAAATTTATTTTACAATTTCTTTTAAAAACTTGCGTTTTACCTGTATCATTTTCTCTGTGCATGGGGACAAATGAGCGAGATGTTGCAGAATCTCGCTTTGATGCGGATGAACGACAGCACCATAAATCCAACACTAAATTTACGCTTCTTTATAGGGAATTTAAAGGCGATTAGTTGAATCGAACGTTGAACGAAAGTAGGCAGCCGACCAACTTCATTGAAAGCGATTAGCGTTTACACCAAGCGATTGTTGCTTTCAACTAAAAGTTGCCTGACAAATCGCCTCATGTCAATTGCCGATTACATGCCAGCATAGCATATTTCTGGATTACACAAAAATTAATAAATATAGCGAATATTATTGTTGCAGTTTTACTCTTCAGTGTATATCATCGGTGATTAGACATCAACACAGAAATAAATCCAAATAATCATTGCATTAACTGAGTTACAAACCGTGTTCCGTATGTCCTTAAATCGTGTCAACCAACAATTTGTTACCCCGAAGAGCCTACGCATGTTGATTGAAGAGCGGCAATTCAAGTTTTAAGTGCTTTCGGGTCAACTCGGTTTTTTCCCATGTCTGTAAAATTCAAAGTTTTAAGTCCTGTTTATCAGTGAGTTACCCATAAATTGGATGACCCTCTGTTTTTTTTTTTTTCATCTTCTCATTATATGCTGGCATTGTATTTATTTCCAACTCATTAGCAAGTAAAGATACATACTCATATGAGTATTGGCCACGTCAGTTGTTCCGCTGTGGGCCACGTGTTGCGCTCGCTTCGAATATTTATAATTTAAAAAAATGCAACACAAAATTATCAACCACCGCTTTTGGTACACAAAGTACATTGATGTTTTTTAAGAATTCGAAATGACAGCGCTTTACTAGTGTCATTACTAGTGAAGTACAGTGTTTTATTTCTATAAACGATTGGGCAAAAGTAGCTTGAATGAATTGAATTCTTTAATTAATTCCGTCCTTTACAAGAGTATTTATATACATATGGGTCAATTTTTTGTTTACAATGCGCGTGTAGCATAGGGGGATTCTAAGTGAAATTCTAAGCAAATTTGCCTAAGAAACCAAGTTTCGGAGAAAATGTGTAAATTTTCACTGTTGCGTCCTCTGGTGGAAGTTTTAAGAAAAAGATAAGTGCAGAAATGGATTTCCCATACCAAAAAACCCTTGCAGCATGCTTTTATTCAAAATTTAAGCACTTCTTTACGACACTACAGCAAAATGCTAAGAAACCTATTATCGCATTTTGGCAAACTCCAAATTTGTTTTAGACCCATTATTTCTTCGGAAAATTTTCTTAGAACTACACATTGAAATCTTCTGTGCTATACACGCATAGTCCAAAAAATCTGCCATACAAATTGACCAGACCTAATGTACATACGTACCATTTTAGACCTAACAATTAAGCTGTTTTCAGTGTAAAAATCGTCAATAAAACCTTTCAAAAACAATTTGAGGAAGTTTCGAAGGCTATATTTTTGATAAAATGAAGGGATATTTAGGCGATTCCCTTGTTGTCGGGAAGCGGTAAAATTCGAAATGAGGAAAACATTTCTTATAAGTTTTGACGTTTCAGCAAAAGTTTCTTGGGATTCGGGGGTTCTTAAGAAGAAAATTCTTACTTTTACATATACATCAATATTTTGATAGCTTCTCTAAATATTTACCTACCCTAAAGCTCACTGCCCGCTTTCCTATCAAATTTAACCGTTATTTTAGCTTTTACTTTTTCGATGCTATTTTCAGATTAATTGATTAATTGTTTTAGACCATAAAGGATTTAAGACAGTCATAAAATCGCAGTTTCCATTATAAAGTAACAAAAAATTTTGACCAAAAAAATTGGTATAAAAATTTGACGATTATTCTTGATCTTGGTTATTTTCGATCCCTAAAAAAACCTCATTCCCCCAACTATATGTAAGTAGATATATTTTACGCCGTCGAAAACAATCAAAAATTTGTTAAAAAAAGAAGCCTATTCGTACCACTGTCCTTGCGAGCCGACACTTTTTTAGTGGTTTCACGTTCCATCACAAGCGCTTACCACTCCATTAGAAGAGGGTTGGAAATCGAGTTTTCCTTCCTCGCAAGCTAAATGTAGCGCGTGTCATGCTGAGTTTGATTGACTGACGACGACGACGCATCGGGACGCGAGTGATCGTAACCTTTTTCCAGTACATATTACATTTCTCGTGTGATCTTCCATTTCGGCCGCTTGTTTGCTGGCATGCATTGTTGAATAGCGCTAAAGGGAATATTCATGATGCAAGGGACAGAGTTCTTCAGTCGCATCGCAAAGCACTCACGCGAAGGGTACTCGAATACTTGTACATTGCCAGGCCAAACTCTCATAATGTATGCAATTTTTGCATAGGGGGAGTTTATCTTAAAAGTTATACATATATTGTGTGACATATGGGCCTCACACTGTGTGTAAGTTGGTAATTTTGCTTTACGCTTTTCGGCTTTTTTTTTTTTTTTTTTTTTTTTTTTTGAAGATCAATTTTGAAGATCGATGAAACGATTTGAATATTGTCCGCACATTTGGGATGGGGTGATAATTTGAATGACTTGTGGGACCATCAAGAAGTGGTAGCAATAAAAGTTAAAAGTTATAATGATAGGCCAGCATAACTAAGTTGATTACATACATACTTACATACAGACATGAGTGTGCATGAATGTATGTACATATGTATGTATATGGTGCGCGTGCATTCATAAATATAGTTGTGCCAGACAGAAGGTACAAACTTACCACCATATGCAATTTTCGAATCGACTCCCAATAACGTGGAATGGGAAACTTAAATTCCTGCATGCGGTCGCTTGCCATCCAATGTTTGCCGGGAACCGAATGTCTTTTGAGTCTTCTATGATTATTATAAACCATAAAACAGTTTGTTAATTTTTATTAAGGTCATATCCTTGCGATTGTGA